GCCTTTCAGGAGGCAAATTTTGTGATTTTGGAGTTCTTGTTTATTCCTTGGAATTGGGCCAAGTTTTGTTGATAAAGACAGCTATATAGCATCCAACAATTTTCAATTCCTGGAATTTGCTTCAGTTCTTTTGCGGTGAAACAATTCTGGGATAGTTTTCCAGAGTTCTTCACTATATAGACACTTTTCAATAACAAAAAAATATTCAAGGGATTTTAATTTCAAGTGCAAATCTACATGTAAGGCAGCAAAAATAAAGCAAGCTGGAGCATCCTCATTCCTTATTGGATGTTGAAAGAGGAATTTTCATTGTCATCTCTGATCACAGCAGGTATCAAAAGACACAAATAAAATCTTGCATTGTGGAATAAAAACTTGCTTCCAAAAGAAATAAAATCAACAAAGGAAAATCGCGTTGCATATGGCACAAGCACAATTCACAAACTGCAAAATTTCAAAGCACATAACTCTGCCAACTGTGGACTTGGAAATATCTGCAATCTACATCTGACATTCTCCTAAATTGAAGATAAAGATCTTCTCTAACTTGTTACTAATCATATATCTGATCCAACTCATCAATCCTGCAATATTCTCACCTTTCCAAAGCTAACTTCTTTTTTGGTGATGAGAATCTGGAAGAGTATTGTGCCAGAGATTCTCAAGTCACTGATGCACAAGCATTTTTTGTGAACAATGACTTCAAAAATCTAATCCCTTCATGCATGACTGAATTTATTTCTGCCACACCTAACTTATCCTAATGTTTCCTGGCTTAGGCTATTCTGTCCTGCTTGTGACACTTTGGTGAACTTTGGTCTTGAACCAAGAAGCATCCACTGTGTTGCAAAATTTCCTGGTACTGCTGTACAGTAGTGGAAAATAACCTAATGCCACTGAAATTTCAATATAGCTGCCCTCATCCCCTTCTTTGAACTTGGTCAACGAATAAAATGTTGATTTACATTTCAAAATGAAAAATCTGAAAAGGTTGAATAACAGATGAGAATAAGTGCTGAGATGATTAAGAAAAAAGGGATATAATGTATCCTGTGTGCAAATTATATTTGCAAGATAATCATAGCAGAAATATTCTTGAAGTACTGAATGAAAAAGAGGGTTTCTGATTTTAATTTTTACCATACAAAATTTTTTTGCTGTGGTTGCATTTTGCATACATCAGCAACACACAGGGATGATGTTTTTTTCTAGTTTTATGAATGCAACAATGATTGCAGGTTTTAACCCTGTTACTTTTTATTAAGATTTTGCATACATCAGCAACACACAGGGATGATGTTTTTTTCTAGTTTTATGAATGCAACAATATATGATTGCAGGTTTTAACCCTGTTACTTTTTATTAAGTTTCCTCGCAGGAAAAAATTACCGGATGCTTTTCAGGAAAATTGAAGCTTGTTTTTTGTTCCTGACTTTTGGTCGCCCAGATATGAAAAAAGACCTTCGATGAAATTTTGCACGATGACGATTTTTTAAAATTATATTATTGTTAAGTTTCTTATTAGAGAAAATGCAGTTCAGTACTGAGTAGAAACGACATTTTCGAGGTTATTTCCAACTCAGGCAAATAATGTTTTAGAAATATGTAAAAATACAGAAATTCACTAAATTTAAAAATGACGAAAGACGACATGGTCTCGTCTCTTCCCATTTTTTTCTGTCGAAATAGTTATTCAAATGCGCAGGGATAATCAGCTACAAAACAGTTACACACGCAAAACACGTCTCGAAATTGAATAATGCCCGACAAAAAAGGCCGTTTTTATATTTACCTCAGTACATCGTGACCGAAGTACTGGAAGAAAGTAGATTTCAACATAATTGAGAGCGTGACAAATAGACTCTTTTTTTTTTTACCGAAACATCTCTTTTTCCATTGTCAAAGCCCAATTCCACTTTTCCCCGGGTCTTAACCGTGGTTTTTTACGACAAGGAAATTGCTGTTGAATGAGGAAGAAGAATGACCAGTTTTGGAAGGTGATGGATGATGCGTAACTGGACGAATGTTTTACGCGTCCTTCGTTTTTTTTTTTCTTAATTCAATTGTGGACAATCCGGAAGAAATCAACGCTAGCTGCTGTCATTCAAGCGATTATGGGGTTATCCTATTGTAAATCGATTAGGACCAATAAATGTACACATTGACATCATCCTTGCGCAAGTCGGAATGATGCTTTTTTTCAATAAAAAAAAGTCGTCTTCAAATAAATAATTAGAGGCATCATCATAATCGGCAAATTGAAAAGCGGCGGATCAACCCTCACCTGTAGTCGCAATATACAGTACGCAAAATTTTTACGAAATTCTTAAATTTGGGCTGGAATTACCATATTTATATTTTATGCGAGTAAAGATATGCGAGAATTTCGAAAATAAAAACAAATTCTGGAACTGACGTCTATGGTATAGCGTTGATTCGTCGCTTTTCGTCGATTTTGATCGATGCCTCAAATTATGAACTGAATTTCTTCCGATTACATAATCTTTAATTTGATACCAATTATTACGGTGCAGTATTTTAGAAAAGTACATAAACAGCACTCTGATTTGAAAATTGCAAGGAGGTGAGTGCGGTTTTGTCATGTGGTTATTTTTTTTTTAGCAATTATTTATTGTAAATGTGCGTTTGTTTCTGGTTCAGTTGCTTTTCACAAAAATATATGACGTTCATTGAATTGTTGAAGGCATTTGCCAAAACATTACAACACAGTTAAAAAAAACCATTGGAATTTTAATGCGCCATGTCATATGCAGTACTGTATTAATAAAAATTCAACCTGTTGGTTATTTTTGCTAAAAATTATTTTCTTTGGTCGATGAAACAATTCATGAACAATTTTTTAATGTTATGCAATTTTCATATTTTTACAGCTATATATACAATAAAAATATGAAAATACTTCACTCAAATAAATACTGGGAATCATCGGATTAAAAATGTTCCATAATTTTGGAATCTGAAATATAGGATATACTGTATATTGGCTCTGCTCATGCTTCAATAATGACCCAATCACTTCCTACATTTTTCAGTGTTGGCTCTTTCTCGAATGGTCCTTCGAATTAAAAATCTTGAAAACAGTTTATTTCTGTTCACATATTCAGCGATCTCGATTTAAAATACTTTATACTGATGTTCAGAATAAATCATGCACCTAAGTAATGTACTGTACTGCAAAGTCAAGACACCCTGAAATGTAACAAGGTAGACAAACGATGAGTTGTGTGCACTACTACAAGAAGTAATTCTATTTTCTGCGCAAACGAGATTCGAATACGGGCATAACGAAAAAAAAGCACTTCTGGCGTGAAAAATGGAAGTCATCATCTCCATGATTTCTTACCAAACTTAATAAGATGAGTAGCCAATGTGTTATGTGAAGAGCGAAAAGCGTCCACGACAATACAAAAAACCCCGTTTTCAATTTGGAACTTGATTGTCATCTCGTCCGTTTAGGAATTTGTTGAAGGACAAACAAAAGGAAGAGCTCGGGGCAGCATTTGAAAATTCCGAAATACTTTAAAGCTCATCATCCCGAAGACGGTATATATACTGTACAGGTTACAGGACTGACCGTTACAATAGCAAAACGCTTTCCGGGAATCATTTTTTCAAGGGTTTTCTTTGTCCTTGCGAAACTAGCAATATGAGCGATAAGAGGCCAGTTACGAAAGCAGCTGCTGGTTCGCTTTTTTTTTTTAACTTCGAGGCCCTCGAACATTCTGAGTTTATTTTCCACGGGCTCCTCCTTGACCTGGCATCGATCCACTCGAAACTCACGCAGTCAACTGCTCCATCAATCCATGCTCTTGAAGCGATTTCAATATACTAAAGATGCTTCATCCTACAGAAAAGAATATTCCACAGCAGGATCACACGAAAGCTTCGGTCCTGTGCCGACTTCCATGCGTACGAACGCGTACACATGACTTTACTCTATTTAAAAAAAAATTTGAATGTATAAATTTAGCCAACAGTGATTTTCATTGTTCAAGTATACAGGCATGGCACATGGGTTATCATTGGCAGTTGGAAACGAAATTTTGCGTTGCCTTTGTTACATGAGCATGAGATACGACGTGTGCAGCGACACCTGCGTGTTGCAATCTGAAACGTATACAAACTTGCTATAATTTGGAGATGTACAAAGCGGTTTCCGTGGTGTAGTTGGTTATCACATCCGCCTAACACGCGGAAGGTCTCCGGTTCGAACCCGGACGGAAACATTTCTTTTGCTGCGTTGTATTTTTTCTCATCATCTCGCTTATATCATCACGAATGGCATGGAATTTAGTCGTTGTTAAAATTCAGTGGATGAACAATGATAAAACCTTGATATTTATTTTGTAACGTTTTTTTCTTTTCTGCTGGCAGGTGAAACGACAGTCGTTCCGGTTTCCACCATCGGGTGAAGCAGGAGTGGATTATCCGACTTACAATGAAGTTCCCAACGGATTAGCGTTCAGCTGCACTAATCAAGCCCCCGGATATTATGCTGATCCGGAAACCCAGTGCCAGGTACCATTGCTTTTATTCAAAGTAATGCACATAATGGAATACTGTACAGTACTATATACCAAATGTTAGTTGCCGGAAATGACGAAACAGCAGGTTTTATTCGCTTTTATTCGTTTACTCCGCGGAATTTATGCGGGGTAATCCTCGTAGAGTTACTTTTTCACTTACTGTATCAATATTTAGGCAATGGGTAATTGCATCTACACTAATATATACACAGTACTAATTCACCCCAGTTATTCATCGAAGTTCGTAAAAAATCTTTCCATAAAATTGCATCATGATGATGCCTAATACAGGTGGCTCCCCCAAATTCAAAACTAAATCTGTTGCCAGGTAAGGGTCAAATTCTGAAGCAGTCAAATTGCAAATTGGGGTCAATTGTCAAATTCAACGTAATCTACATTAAATTTTACATTTCGAGTCTCTCTGCAGGACAAAGTGCTGGGTGAAAAATTTCAAATTGCTAGTGGATATCCTAGCAAATTTGACTGTCAAATTGCAGCAGGATGGTCAAATTTTGGGACATCAAATTGCTAGATACCACCTGTATAGGTGTGGCTGGGCACCTCCAGCAGCTTGTTGAATATGAAGTTGTTCTTCCAGTATAATAATTGTGGATATTGACCAATTCAACAGGTGTGGCATTGGTGTGACTTGAATGGAAGAAGATACAGTTTCCTGTGCCCGAACCAGACCATGTTCAACCAAGCTTACCGAGTTTGCGACTGGTGGTACAACGTGGACTGTGCGGGTTCATCTGGACTTTATAACATCAACGACGACCTTTACAAGGACAATCAAGGGAACACCCTGTAATTTCTCAATATTTTTTTTTCATCATCCCATGAAATAAGGCGAAGACTATATACCAGCAAAAGATGCCAAATGCACAAAAATATAAACCACGTTACCAGTCAGTATTAGTGCCTTTGGTGTGCGGAATTTTTTATTATTTTTCGTTGCGAATTCGAAGAAAGAATCTCTGTGAAAGCATTTTTTTATTTGTGGATATTTTTATCTAGCTTTGCAGGAATTCTAGACGAATTAAAGTATTGAGAAATTTTGGAACCCCGACGTTCCACACAGAAATTTTCGCGCCATTTTTTTTAATGATTCTCGCATTTATTTTTTCAATTGACAGTTTTGAAACGTTTTTAAGCACGTGGATCATCGGTATCTCACTATCTCTTTAAGGATGATTGTAATTTTTCAAGGAATTGCGAGAGAAGAAAATAGAAGTTAAAATTCAAGGTACAGTGAATATTTTCGAAGAAATTTTGGGTGCAGTTGAGGCGAGACTCTATTTTTGTATCCATTTATTTTCTATTTATTTTCATTTACGCTTAGAAAATTTTGGAATAATCCATTTCATGTTTTTCATGCTTTTTTGTATGCTTGAGCGTTTCTTGGACGAAATATATTGCTTCGAAATAATTTTATGAAATACCCAGTCATTTATGCGTATTTCTTATTTTTATTTCCTAATTTCGCAGGAATTTCATGTATTCCGGGAAGGTAATCTTTAACATACAGCAATTGAAGCTTTTTTTTTCTTCAAGGTAACCATGCGTAATTATTGCAAATATTTTCATGATTGCCTGGAATGTTTTACAAGATAAGTGCGGTGTTTTTCGAAGAAAAAAATGTGTAGTTCTTGAACTTCACCGTCATTTTCAGACACCCATTGAAAGCTGTAAGTGCCCTCAAAATTATTCCAATTTGTGTGGTTTTGAAAAAATAAGCAGCTTTCTCAAAAATAAGTACTGTAAGTTGTCGTACGATTCCTTGTATCCTGAATCTCCATCTTCTTTCATCGATGATCTAGAGAACTATCAACTACAAAAATTCCTTACATGAAATGTAATGAACACATTTCGATCAGGTTTCGAAATTTTCCTCGAAATTTTCATCTGAATTCTGAGCCTTACTTGACGCTCGTATATTTTATTAATCTTATGCATAATCATGAAGTAATGTAATATTTTTTGGGAAACACGGCATTCGTGAGGAAATTGAGAATCTGTTTTTGAATTTCATGGGGATGTGACTTGACGTAATTTATCACCCATTTCATTTATTTCATGGAATATCGTAAATTAATTGTGTTGTAATTTTTTGGGGGAAGCACAGTGTATAATGAAACTGAGAACCTATTTTTAGTACTGTATCCTGGAGATGTTTTTTTTTCTTCATAAAACTGACAATTTTAGCAAGCTCATGGATCATGGATGATTCCGCGCATATTTCTGCTCACGAATTCCTGTACTTCGAGTAGCAGCATATAAATCTTATTTTCCAACGTTAAATAATGCACGTATGAACACACGGAGAGAGTAATGAAAAAAAAAAACATCAAGCATAGTCGGTCAAGATTACATGTACAAGAAAGGTGGTTGAGACAAGGTCAAGCTTGCTCACCCTTTTTTCCCCGGGTTTTTTTTCTTTTCTGAACTATACTCTTGAGACTTCACAAGTTGGCTACTTTTGTGGCTACAACTGGAGCTTCTCCTTTTGTGCGCCGAAAGGCTCGACATTGAAAAAATATTGGAGCCAATGAAGTTCGTGCTTCGCAATTATTCCAACTTACACAACTGAACCTCAAACACTTGCCCGAATGAGCACCAGAAAAAAGAAAAATATATTCATTTTTTTATTTCTTGTATAGTCTTTATCTTTCCAGAAAGTATTCTTGGCTGTTCATGTCCTGATTTCAAATATCATGCGCGGAAGGTATAATATGCAAAAGATTTCACGAGAAAATTCCTGTAAATTGGTTCGTGAGCTTTGTTATGTCTTGTAGTAATTTTCCTTTCATATTGGACTTGCTCAATTATTTCCATCCTCAATTTTTATTTAGCGAAGTTGAAATAAAGAAAAGACAAATGCGTTATTTTCATCTCATAATAAGATCCATAGACAGACTCCAGAAAGTGGTTTTTGTTTCAGATCGGTAATTCTTATTTGGAACAAATTTTGTCAAAAAAGTGAAAATAAGTTTTTCCTGGACATAAGTGAAGAATAGATGATAGAAACAGCTCAAAAACGGACAAGAACTTGGCTTTTAGTTATTTGATAAATTGTACATTGCCAGAATCTGCAAATTCACATTTGGAATTTGATATGTTTGGAATACAGTGAGACCCCCAGATGCAGACATAATTGGTGCATCAAGAGTGTCCTTAAGTTGGATTGTCCCCAAGTTGAATCTTGTTTTCCCATAGACTTACATTGTATAATTTTCAATTGGTGTTTTATTGAAGAAATATTCTTCAGAATTTCATGAAAAAAAACTTTTGCCACTTGAATTTGATTCAATGAATATATTTTCAAACCAATAAGAACATTTGAAACATTGAATAGTGTACCTCTGTACAGTAAATTGAAAAGTTGGCATCTGGAAAAATAACATCCATGTCACAAAGAGTGCTAGAAGGAAAGTCGCTCTGTGCTATAGGGCATTTTTAAAATTAGCTGAATGGATGGGCAAATGATGGGAAAAGTACCACAGAATTTTTCTTGCATAGATCTTAGGTTGGAAACATCTGTTTCTTGCAATATTAAGCCTTATTAAAATGGATTTTCCTAAAATTTATTTTGGAATTTCATCCTGCAATGTAGTCCCCAGGTTGAGTCAGTGTCCTCATGTCAGGTCTTTTTATGATTTTTTTTTGTTAAAAAATAAATGTCCCCATGTTGAGGCGTCCGCATGTGGGGGTCTCACTGTATTTTCATTAGACATGCAGGTTTTGAATAATTTTACAAGTCGTCAAATGAATACCACAAAATTTGATAACCACTGACACGCATGCAATTTGGAGAAATTCCTGTAGCAGAACCGAATTTATCTGAAGACTTCCGGTAAATTTTCACTCGGAATTATAAAAATTAGGTTCAACGTTATTATAAGGGATACTCTTTTTAATAATGAAATAATTCCCAAACGCACAATATACTTTACAATTTTTCCCTTCGTCCCCCGAAACCGAACGACTCAAGCACGCCCTCATCTTTTGGGCCACTTTAAAAGAGCCCAGGAGAATTTTTAATTTTTTTCACAAGGTTTCCGCTCTCGGAAAAAAATCTTGTTGCTTCGGCGAAGGTTCCTTGGGCAAAAGTGTTTGCGGAGGAGGATTTTGTTGGATAATCGGGTGGTTGTTTGCCATGTGTGGGGTTTTGTTTGCCGTGTGACTGGGGAACGTGGATATATTTAAAGGTCTTTATGTGCCCAAGATTTTTTGCGACTCATTTGGGTCTCGTCAGTTCCCCGGTAGAGACTGGCTCGGCATCTAGTCAGTCAGTTCGTTATTCAGTGAAACTACACTTTCAACTCTTCATTCATCAAGAATGAAAAAAAGTGGGGCCTCAAGATGCGGAGGTTGTTGGTTCATGGACCTTGTATACCCATGTTGGAGAAATCACATGTTGGATCATGTTACCCCCGCAGTAGATTTCAATGAACACATATGTGACTGGTTCTCATCCTAATTTTTTCAAAAGTATGAAATGAGTCCCAAAAAATTAACCTCAAGCTAAAGAAAATAGCTCTGCAAAAGAAAACTACGCATTATCTGATCTTTTGGCATTAATATGGGAGTTTAAGAAGCAAGGAACAAGAACAAATTTGGCTATACTGTGCACAGATGATGGAAAATACACTGAAAACCTAATATGTGGAAGTAATGGGTTCATCAGGAGTGTCCCATAAAGTCAAGATGTCCCTAATAAGTCAAGTCATGTTTTCCCTTAGACTTGCATTATCTAAATTTTTATTGGTGTTTTATGGAATAAATATTCATCAGAATTCCATGGAAAAAATGAATAGAATGTTCTGCCAATCAAAATTGATTGTATCCAAATCTTTCAACTAAATAAGAACATTTGGAGCATTGAATACAGTACCTCTGTACAGTACATTGAAACTTGAGAATTTTCTGTAAAAATAACGTTCTTGTCCAAAAAGACAAGGAAGCCCCTCTATGCTGGAGGTTATTTCTTGAACTAGATAAATATGGATGGAAAAATCATGAGAGAAATGCCAAAGATTTTTTTCTTACATTGATCTTAAGGCTGAATGTATCTGGTTCTTGTAATCTGGATTCTGGACTCATAAAAGTCACATTTCCTGAAACATGATAGCAATTGTAGCATACATTGTTTGCATCATGTTGAGTCATTTTCTGCATGTCGGTCATTTTTATGCATTATTTTTGGAAAATAAGTTTTTGTTTGTCAAATTGTCTGCATGGCAAGGTGTCTGCATATTGGAGTATCACTGTCTTGTACTAAAAAAAAGAAAAAACTCATATTTTTTCATGAATCTGAGTATAATTTTACCATGAAACTCATATATACATTTTTTGAGCATAATTGTTGCTTATCTGATTATTTCGTTGGTTCTCTATTTCAGGTTGAACCCTTTCCCTTTATTTGAGCCGAAAATGAATTTGCAGAATAATATGAGGAATACTTTTTGCGGTGAGTTGAGTGTGATGAAAAGTGTGTGTGTGTGTAAACGCTTAAACGGTAATACAGTATATGCTTTTAAAAACTGGATTGTTTTATAAATCATATTGTATATGCTGGGTGATTTTATTTCAAATAGCTTAATCGTCTCAATATACAAATAGGACTACGAGCACAAGACATTCGTACCTTGAAGCCCCGAAAATGTTTTGAAGAATATTGGCACAACCACTTTTTATAGATATCACACTTGATGTTGAATTATTGGAGGCTGGCTTTTCAGTCATGTCTCATTGGTTATAATGGGAAGGACGTTTGTAAAATATTTCTGTGATAGCTTGCAATCCTCGATCATAAGTTTCATCAATTGGAATAAAATTAACTAAATCGGGGAGTACAGCATCAATGACAGTAATTTTTCAAGAATTTCCCCATTATTGCTGCATTTGATTGTATTGATCATCTAAGTACTTGAAAAATTGGTGTAAGAGTATCAAATTATTTCGAAATAAGAGGGTTGGACAACAACTCACATCATACTCATCTGAAAAGATAATTTAATCGCGTAATCACTCTTTGAATTCAGAAATCAGATGATGAATGGTATTATAGGAGCAGTAAGTCTCACAGTAAAAAAGTGAAAGTATTTTGTATTTGAAAGAAACTCTGACTTTGTTCAATAAAAATAGTTTTTATTTTGAGGTATGGTATTTTTTATTGTTCATACAGGGAGAAGCCCGTTATAATCCCTTATTGTGAGAGCACAAACAAAGTGATTTGCCTACGTTTTTTTGGGGGTTTCTGGAAAAGGGGATCTAATTTATTCCCAATTTATT